AGTGGAGGCATGTCACTTGAACCGTATGGTGGATGGTAGGAAGAAGGAAAGCCTATCTGTGTTACTGCTATTTGATGAAGTGTTTCTCCCGACACATGTAAAGCTGGGGTATACGAGATATGCGGTGAGAGCTTTTGTGAACAGGCCGTTGCAATGTCGTAATTGCAAAAAGTTTTGCCAAGTGGCAAGTGTGTGCAGACGTAGTATATATTTCGATTTTTACATTTTAGTCATTTAGCAGACGCTCTTATCCAGAGCGATTTACAGTTAGTGAGTGCATACATTTTCATACTGTTCCCCCGTGGGAAACGAACCCACATCCCTGGCGTTGAAAGCGCCATTCTCTACCAACTGAGCTTCAGGAAATATGTTGTTGCAGAGTCAGTGCATACACAGTGCTGCAATTGTGGTGGGCAGTTATGTAAAGTACTTAAGTAAAAATACTTTAAAGTACTACTTAAGTAGTTTATGGGGGTATTTGTACTTTACTTTACTATTTATATTTTTGACAACTTTTACTTTTACTCCACTACATTCCTAAAGAAAATAATGTACTTTTTACTCCATATATTTTGCATAATATAAGGTATTGGAAAGGATTCATACTTTTACTTTTACTATTGATACTTAAGTATATTTAAAACCAAATACTTTTAGACTTTTACTCAAGTAGTATTTTACTTGATGACATTCACTTTTACTTGAGTCATTTTCTATTGAGGTGTCTTTACTTTTACTCAAGTATGATAATTGGGTACTTTTTCCACCACTGGTGGTGGGAACCACCTTCCAGAGTTCCAGGAGTGCCCTGTAAGGGTGAAGGAGGTTGAAATCACAAGAATCAGGGCTGTCCATCAGGTCTCTTATGTGGAGGCAGTGCAAATGGTGGAAGGGTGAGTGGAAATGAGGAAGAAATGTCAATGGATGCCCCGCAGCCTGCCGAAAATCTTGTTAACCAGTTAAGGGATCAAGAAATACTGATAGTGAAGAAAGTAGATTTTGTTGTGTTTATTGCTCAGGTGATACATTGTACAGGCCAAACAAACAAGAATTCAAAGAAACTGGAAATAATTGTGAATGTGGCTGAAAGGTTTTTGCAACTCCAGCCCTTCACAGCCGAAACAGGAATACTCAGGCCTCAGAACCTGTAGGGATCTGAGTATACATTTTCATCTGACTAAAGGAGTACATTGATTTTTGTTTTATAAATTATTTGGGAATAATATGAGTATGGTTTTTCAACCTTTCTCTATTTCCCCATGTTCTTTTTTTGTGTTATTAAAGTTGTCTCAGTTTTTCACCCCACACAGTAGGTGGTGGCATGCACCTCTAACGTGTGTTTGCGGACCACCAATAATACCATACAAGAAGAAGAAGAAGAAGAAGAAGAAGAAGAATCTTTTAAACATATTGTTATTCTTCAAAAATATGTCTTGACATGGTCAAATAACTCAAGCATAGATTGGTAAGTTTTTTCTAATTCGGCACACAGAAACTAGAGGCCATGAGTAACTTGGTCAAAAATAATGGCACAGATTGGCCTATAGGTGGTGCTGCTAAGCAGTGTCACTTAAAGTCTCACGTCCTGATTTGGCCTCATTTTAGATTTGGTTCATTAAGAAATGCTAGTGCCCATGACTGAATTCAAATGTGAGTTGGTTTCGGTGTGTGGTTTGATGTGGGTGTCTCTTATGTGTGTTCACAGGTGGGAAGAGTTAGACAAATTACTTCGCCAATTAGCTTCAGCCGGCTGGTTTTTGCGACCGTGGCAAAGTTGGTTTGAGTTTGGATAGCCTATCGCTGAGGATAGTTAGGGATCGTCAATAAAGTACACAATGTAAATAGGACAATATTTTCATGTTGCAAATCTTTTAGTCATCCATTAAATGGTTCCAATATTTGTATATGAATTTCTACGATTTATAGTTGGTTTGAGGTTTTTGTAAGTCATTGAAATTTGGAGCTATTGACCTTTCAAAATATTGTCCCATGTACATTGTGTAATTTATTGATGGTCCCTAACTAGCCCCATAGGGATATCGAATGCCAAACCAAATTGACCATGAGCATTATGATCGTGTCATGTGCAGCTGCGCGCCAAATTGATGATTACTTGGGTGCTGCCAGCTGTGGGCATGTGGGCAGGATTAAAATAAACCCAACCCACGGAAAACTTTTACGTTACCCTTCATCTCGCAAATCTCAGAGACTGACTTTATGAAAATAATTATCCTATTTACACTTTGTAGGGAATTTTGACACTAGAATACATGTTTCTGACTCCATATGTCAGATTCACTCCAGATTTGGTATTTTAATGGTTTTGAGAGATAATTGTTGCTACATTCAAATCTGGCTACACTGTACCTACAGATGCACTTTAGCACATATGCTAATGCAAAAAATATACTGAACAAAAATAAAGTTTTGGTCCCATGTTTCATGAGATGAAATAAAAGATCCCAGAAATTTTCTAGATGCACAAAAAGCTTATTTCTCTCAATTTTTTTTGCACAAATTTGTTTACATCCCTGTTAGCGAGCATTTTTCCTTTGCCAAGAAAATCCATCCACCTGACAGGTGTGGCATATCAAGAAGCTGATTAAACATCATGATCATTACACAAGTGCACCTTGTGCTGGGGACAACAAAAGGCCACTCTAAAATGTGCTGTTGTGTCACACAACACAATGCCACAGATGAAAATGTCCCAGTTCTTCCATGGCCTGTATACTCACCAGACAGGTCAAACCTGGTTTAAAAAAACTGATAAAGCAATACCTCACGGCACAATGCCTCTCCCCTATTTGATAGTGTGTGTGTATGTACTGATGTATAGGCTATGTGTACCTTTTTAAAACTGATGTAGTTCTGTCCTCGAGCTGTTCTTGTCTATTAATGTTCTGTATTATGTCATGTTTCATGTTTTGTGTGCACCCTAGGAAGAGTAGCTGCTGCTTTCGCAACAGCTAATGGGGATCCTAATAAAATACCAAATACCCATTGAGCATGTTTGGGATGTTCTGGATCGACGTGTTCGACAGCGTGTTCCAGTTCCCGCCAATATCCAGCAACTTCGCACAGCCATTGAAGATGAGTGGGACAACATTCCACAGGCCACAATCAACAGCCTCATCAACTCTATGTGAAGGTGATGTGTCTCACTACATGAGGCAAATGATGGTCACACCAGATACTGACACATTTTCTGATACACCCCTACCGTTTGTTTTTATGGTACACTATATAAACAAAAGTATGTGGACATGCCTTCAAATTAGTGGATTCGGCCATATCAGCTTCAACCGTTGCTGACAGGTGTATACAATCGAGTACACAGCCATGCAATCCCCATAGACAAACATTGGCAGTAGAATGGCCTTACTAAAGAGCTCAGTGACTTTCAACGTGGCACCGTCATAGGATGCCACCTTTACAATAAGTTGTCAGTTTCTCACATTTCTGCCCTGCTGGAGCTGCCCCGGTCAACTGTAAGTGCTGTTATTGTGAAGTGGAAACATCTAGGAGCAACAACGGCTCAGCTGCGAAGTGGTAGGTCACACAAGCTCAAAGAACGGGACCAGCGAGTGCTGAAGCGCGTAAACATGTGTTTGTCATGGTTCTGGCTAGGCCCCTTAGTTCCAGTGAAGGGAAATCTTAACGGTACAGCATGCAATGACATTCTAGACGATTCTGTGCTTCCAACTTTGTGGCAACAGTTTGGGGAAGGCCCTTTCCTATTTCAGCATGTCAATGCTCCCGTGCACAAAGCGATGTCCATAAAGAAATGGTTTGTCGAGATCGGTGTGGTGGAACTTGACTGGCCTGCACAGAGCCCCATCGAACACCTTTGGGATGAATTGGAAGGCCGACTGCGAGTCAGGCCTAATCGCCCAACATCAGTGCCCGACCTCACTAATGCTCTTGTGGTTGAATGGAAGCAAGTCCCCACAGCAATGTTCCAACCTCTAGTGGAAGGCCTTCGAAGAAGAGTGGAGGCTGTTATAGCAGCACAGGGGGAACCAACTTCATATTAATGCCCATGATTCCCAGTCGTGAAATCCATAGATTAGGGCCAACTGATTTTATTTCAGTTGACTGATTTCCTTATATGAACTGTAACTCAGTAAAATCTTTGTTTGTTGCATTTATATTTTTGTTCAGTGTATCTAATAAAGATATATTAGTGTTTTATTTTTCATATTTCTTTTTACAAAAGTTATAATTTTTCTTCCACTTTGACATTACAGAGTATTTTGTGTAGATCGTTGACAAAAAATTGACAATTAAATCCATTTTAATCCCACTTTGTAGCACAACAAAATGTGGAAAAAGTAGTGGAGTGAATACTTTCTGAAGGCACTGTGGTCTGAATGTAGTGAAAAGATGGAAAATGTGTTTATTCTGGAAAATGTAAAACTGCCGCTTGTGCAGTCAGTGTATTACTGCTGTGAGAGTGCATTGAAGTCTTTTTTGAACGCTAATCTGGAGTGTACTAACTGAGATTTAAATAATTTACACAAACAGATCTTGACAAACGTGAAATATTTGGATTGTTATCATCCTTGTGATATTGAGAGATAAACATGGTAATGCTTTTACTGATTGCACATAAATGATGATAATTCCTACGTGATAGAGTGCTTGCTTTGTTATCCAACTGATCTTGTGTCCTTTCTGTCATCCAGTGAACCCCGTTCATTGCTGCCCGCAGCTATATTTGAGAATGTGCTTCTGCCTTTACACAATGAGAGACCCAATATTATTACATGACATTTCAATATTTTCAAACCAATACAGTGTTACAAATATTGTATTATTTTATTCAGACAACCTCAATATACAGATTATTGAATTAATAAAGAACACATATTTGCAGATTTGGCAGTTTTGTGGCACAAAAATCAGTTTTGTCTGAAATGTCATGTTATGTGATTCATATGCATCCAATAGCCATGTCATTATCAATTATAATATAATGTAATTTGTACATGATCAAACTCTCTCTCTCTCTCTCTCTCATCCAAATACAGAACACCGTTGATCACCGTCACCAGTGCTTTCAAAGAACATGAAATCCTGTTTGGAGACAAAGAATAAAGAAAGAAAAAATGGACACACAATGAATAGGCATGATGGAGATCATCATCACACTAAATACGTAATTGTTAGATTCATCATAATAGACAGGATTTATAATGGCTTTATATTGATGCACTACAATAAGAGTGTCAGTATTGACTAATTTATTGGTTTGTCAGTAATTTTGCAGTAATGGCTGCTTCATTAGGTCACTGACACAGTGATAGAGAAATTCCCTTATGGATTATAGCCTATGTACTGTATATGTGTGTAATGTACTATATGAGAGAGCTCCTACAAAGAATTCCAATGAAGGCTATGTCTTCTTAATAACTAAAAATGCCAAATGAACTTGAATCTGACTTAGCTCTATAGATATGGCTGAGTTTGCACAGGCAGCCCAATTCTGATCTTTTGCCAATAATTGGGCCAAAGATCATAATTGGGCTGCCTGTGTAAATCGCAGCCTTTGTCACTTACAATAAGGATGCAGGCCCCCATCAGCACAGCCTTCATCTTGACATCCAGGTCCATGGGGAACTGGATCCCAAAGTTGTCTGTGTCAGTGAAGGCCTCCTTTATCAGCCCACTCCACTGCTTGCTGATTCTCCCAATGGGCTGGTCGTGGTCCTTACCCATCACCTGTTATAGAAACACCAAGGACACTAATCAGGGTGATGTTCATTAGGCAGCAAATGGAAGAAAACGGATTGAAACAGTGAGAGACTACCTGGACTTCATTTTTTTCCTGTTTTGCTACGGTGTGCCTTAATGAACACAACCTACGGTTTAACGGACTCAGGGCTACATGAACACTCACGAATAGAGATAGACCACAGTCCTCTCCCTAACAGCCAGTGATGTGCTATGCAGACATAGAGGAGTAGATGAGGTGAACTTCACCTCAAAATCAACGTCTCCACAGCAGCTACAGGCACAGAAAGGACCTTCAATCCTCAGGAGAGTCTCTTTGGCAGGTCCTAGGATGGAGAGTTTTGGCTTGAAGGGATGCCAGTTCTGAACCACATAACCTATGGTGGTGCCAGGAGGGGATTGGACCTCCATCTAGGACAGACAAACATTCACAGACACAGAGGGAAATGGTCACTTGAGAAAGAGTCATGCAGACGTTAGATTATCCTTGAAACAGTATCTTCAATGTTATTTATATCTTCAATTTTGCAATGATAAAATTGAGAAGACAGTCTCTGTTATAAGTGTGTTATAATAGTGTTATTTAGAGCAGTAAATACACACCTACACCTATTTAATAATTACTATATTTATTATTAATTTATTTTACCCTCAAGAGTAGCTGTGCTCCATCGGGTTTGGCTTTGGAATGTTAGCTGTCACAAAAGCATCAGGTATTGCCAGAGAGACAGACACATCCATTTGATTGTTTTTTGAGGGGAGAAAAAGGATTTGGGTGTTCTGTTTATTCTTTATTACAACACCTTGAAATATTATTTTTCCTCGAAGTGATTATTACCCCCCTTGACAGGGCATGTACTCCAACATGTACATTTCCGTCTTGATCTAGTTGGTCACAAACATTTTTATCAGAGATTTCATAAATGTTTATTTTGCTTAAAAGTGTTCAAGTTCGACTGATATTTGAAACGAGCTTCCCTTCCAAACCTCATGAATGACAATAATTAAAACAGGTGAAGGTTTTAAGTTTCAGACCATGGAAGTAACATTTCAACATGGTTTTGAGGGTCTTGATTGTACAATGCAAGTTTAACTGCACTCCAGGACGCCTATGGATCAGGTTAGTGTATATAAGGAAGAAGGAGATATGTTTTTTTTTATAGCTGTGTTATAAGTGGCAATACCTCTTGCAAGCAACACGGGAAGTAGCAGGTGTCTGTTATACGTGTGATGTGAGTGTGTTATAAGCTGTGTTATAAGCAGTTAATCCCACAGACAGCAGAGGAAGTAGCAGGAGGTGTCTGTTGTAAGGGTGTTATAAGATGTGTTATAAGGGGTTAATATGTGTGTTATAAGCAGTTATAATACCTCTTGCAGGCAGCAGGGCCAGAAGCAGGAGGTGCAGCGGAAGGGCTTGACCAGGTGCATGACCTCCTGGCCACTGTGGTCTTTGATCTTCATCTCAAACATGCGGTTGGGACCGCAGCAGTTCCGGGTGCAGCAGTCACTATCCTCCTTGGCTGTGTAGATTTCCTGTCCCAGACTGTTCTTGATTATGTACCGGTTTTTTAGTCTCAAAGGAAGTGATGGCTGGAGAGAGCGGGAGCACAGGAAGAATGGGGTCATGGGGGATGTGGGTGGAGGTGAGAGATCGGAAGTAAATATCATGTCAGAGTAAATACAATTTATGGCATACTCTATATAACAAGGGCTGCCTTACCCTCCAGCAGTTCCACTTTCTGATGTATCAAGATTTGATCGATCTGTAACAAGCAGATAAAGGTAGGATTGGGGACAGAGTTCCCTACTGTGGCCAGCTCTCTCCAGTTTCCAAACCAATGATCTTATCCCATAAAAGTCAACGTTTTACTTTTTCAAGGTAACAGTTCCATAAACAAAAGTTATGACTATTGACTTCACTGTCTTACCTGTGTTAGGTACTCCAGGCCAGGGGGCACTCCTGTTGGTCGAAAGTTATTTTCCATGGCGTGGTAGGATTCGTAGGGGATAGTGGCCTGAGCACACCCACATTGGTCAGACAAATCGTCCATGGTTGATGGATAATAAAGTTAGATCAAATATGGTTTATAACCATAGCACTGAGCTACATGGTTAATCATTACACTACTCAGTCAATAGCACCATTCAAAGTTGCTTTCCAATTAATGCGTACTATTCCTTTTGACATAAAATGTAACATGAATACTATACCAAAACAAAAAATATCGGAAGATGGACTCTCAGAGCTAAGATTTCCCTGGTCTTACATCCGCTTTTTAGGTGTCATGGCAATTTTACAGAGCTCAAAGTTATACATACAGCATATAATAGTACTGTATAAATTGTAAGAACTTACAATGGAACAAAAACATTTTGAATACCAATGAACACATATCTGTGCGGTACTGAGAATCAACTTACGTCCAAAGTCCTTGCTATATGTTGCGCAGAGCTTCTGAAGGTGTTGCTCTCTGTATTGGTGTTGCTCTCTGTATGTGCTAAGCAATCAAACTCAAAGCAATCGGAAGTTACGCATGTGTGTAAGGTGTGTTTTATTAGTCATTTAGCAGACGCTCTTATCCAGAGCGACTTATAGTTAGTGAGTGCATACATTGTTATACTGGCCCCCCGTGGGAAACGAACCCACAACACTGGCGTTGCAAGCGCCATGCTCTACCAACTGAGCTACAGGGTTACTAAGTATGGCTAAAATCGCATGTTGCATACCAGATGATGTCATCATTGTCTCTGGATAATATAATCAGAAACACATATTTCTCTATCTTTTTTTACTACAAAACATAGAAACCCTCTGTTTCCACATACTGTATGTTGACATTGCGGTGGTGCTGGAGATCATGATTTTGATGTTGAACAAAGGGTGAATTTTCCCTTTAAGCCAACTTTAGGTGATTGATTAAGACAAAGAACGGACAAATGAATGGACCAATTTAGGATTTATTCAGTATTCATACAAATAGCTTTATTACTCAAGCTATAGTAAACACAGAAGATAACTATTGCCAAAAAAATAAAACATTTGAAAGCTCTTTTTCCCTCTTTGATTTTGACACACAAACACTAGTGTGCAAAGCTGTCATCAAAGCAAAGGGTGGCTATTTGAAGAATCTCAAATATAAAATATATTTTCATTTGTTTAACACTTTTTTGGTTACTACATGATTCCATATGTGTTATTTCATAGTTTTGATGTCTTCACTATTATTCTACAATGTAGAAAATAGTCAAAATAAAGAAAAACCCTTGAATGAGTAGGTGTCCAAACTTTTGACTGGTACTGTATATTTACTGAAAGAGCTCAGGAGAAATGTTTATACAGTATACATGAGGCTAGAACATTTTGAAAAGAGTACAGTTACCTGCTTGACGTATAACTCGTCAAACAAAAAAGTCAAAAGAAAAGCACCAGCCTTCCTCTGTCGCAACAAGTGACAACTTATATTTCTAAATCTGAACGCACTGTTTGGAAAGCATTTTCTGGAAAACACTACCTGAGGGGGAAAAAATGAAACGCCCCAGATTTGCTTATGTGATTTAGTGTGTATCTCAAATTACACAATGAGCCCTTTCAACACCAAAATACTGTCTCTCAAGACAAAACAAATAGAATAGTGGAGTCGTGGTCAAGGGGCAAAGGGATGCAGTCTTAAACCCAGAAACTATCCTCAGGGCTCTTTCTTTTGTTCAGATCTTTGGTCCTGTCGACAGTCCCTGCTGTCACGACTTCCACCGAGGCTGCTCCCCCTCCTGGTTCGGGCAGGATTCTGCGTTCGTCATCACCGGAGTACTAGCTACTGCCGATCCCATTCTCATCACTCCACTTGTCATGTCTGGTCAGTCACACACACCTGGTGCTCATTCCCCTAATTAGTATGTGTATAAGTGTTCCCTCTGTTTCCCTTGTCTTTGTGAGTGATTGTTTGTTGTGAGAGCGTGTAGCTCGGTTGAGCTACTATTCATTGTGTTATTGCCAAGGTGGATATTTTCCCTTGTAATAGTTTCGTTTGACGCTTGGGGCGTTTGATTTATGTAAACGAAATAAACTCTGGACTTCGGTATTTTACCTCCTGCGCCTGACTCCTTCATTCACACCTCGTCACACCTGCACTTAGGACAGAAGAAGATGTCTGGCACGTTGGACTTCTTAATCTTTGCGGAGGAGAGGTGTACCCATATATCATACTGGTTGCACTCCATGGGCAGATTGGCCTATGTCACTCAGTCAGAACGAAAGATCATGAATCATTAAAAAAACAGAAAGGTGGTGCCGAAATACTTAAACCGAAAAAAGGGCTTGAGGCCGACGCTGCTAAATGTGTGAAATTAACCAACTTATTTGCTAAAAAGTTCTGGTTCTGTTGGTCTGACTGCTGTGTCTGTGAGAAATGACAGATCAACTGCTGCTGCCGCTGCAGCAGAGGACAGCGGTGCAGTCTAGATAGGAAGATAACAGAGAAAGACACTCACAGATCATGTAGTCTACTGCTGCCAGTTAGGCCTAATATTTTGGTTTTATATTGTACGAAATAGTAGGCTAATTAGAGGCAAGGGGATTTGGGGGAACATTTAGACACTAGGCTACTTGCAATACAGCCTAACAAGTCGTTAGATTGCCTTTTTAACACATAGGTAAGGCAATAGCCATCTACTAGACATTTATACAGTCATCATGTATTACAATAAGACATTGAATGAATCCACACCATTTTTAATAACCTTATGCAATTTATTTTAAAGGTGAAGTTGGGGGCTGTCTTTGTATTTGAATTGTTTTAGCAATGTTTAAGCTATTCGCTTTGCTTCTAAATCTCAGTGTCTCTTCATCCAGTGAGTCATCTAGTGTTTCTGAACCTGATGTTGATCATGAAAATCCCACCAGCATTGCAGTTCTTGACACAAACCGGTGCGCCTGGCACCTACTACCATACCCGTTCAAAGGCACTTAAATATTTTGTCTTGGCCATTCACCATCTGAATGGCATGCAGACACAATCCATGTCTAATTTGTCTCAAGGCTTAAAATGTCTTCTTTAACCTGTCTCCTCCCCTTCATCTACACTGTGTGAAGTGGAACAAGTGGCATCAATAAGGGACTAAAGCTTAGAATATTATCATGGTGGCCACTAAAACCCATTTATGCAAATGTCCATAATATTGTAGTTAAAAAAGTATATCAGTTATGAAAAAACGTTCTTCAGGGTCCTTCGTTTAGAGTATTCTGAACGTTAGGCCTATCATGAAGTTCCTAGTTTCAACAGTGTAAGAGCAGTGGGGTTCTAAGAATTACAAAGAGCCTTTGGTATCAGTGGAGTGAGTCTTCAATCTACTATAAGTAAATAAACCTTAACCCAACAGTAATCGTTATTTACTGTATATACTTAAGATGTTGAATAAAGAAAAAGGAGATATAGACAGGAAAAATAGTAAAAAGGTATGATAAATTATTTTGCCACAGGCATAATTTGAACCCTGGTATGTAGAGGTGGAAGCCATTGTCATTATTGGAAATATTCACCCATTTTTTATGTTATATTGTTTTTGTGCATCTCTGAGCAATGTTCTACCGATTCCCGGGGACATTTCGTGTAACTTGGGTCAAACATTTTGGGTAGCCTTCCACAAGCTTCCCACAATAAGTTGGGTGAATTTTGGCCCATTTATCGTGACAGAGCTGGTGTAACTGAGTCAGGTTTGTAGGCCTCCTTGCTCACACATGCCTTTTCAGTTATGCCCAAAAATTTCCTATAGGATTGAGGTCAGGGCTTTGTGATGTCCTTAAGCCATTTTGCCACAACTTTGGAAGTACGCTTGCGGTCATTGTCCATTTGGAAGACCCATTTGCGACCAAGCTTTAACTTCCTGACTGATGTCTTGAGATGTTGCTTCAATATATCCACATAATTTTCGTTCCTCATGATGCCATCTATTTTGTGAAGTGCACCAGTCCCTCCTGCAGCAAAGCACCCCCACAGCACGATGCTGCCACCCCCGTGCTTCATGGTTGGGATGGTGTTCTTCGGCTTGCAAGCTTTCCCCTTCTTCCTACAAACATAACGATGGTCATTATGGCCAAACAGTTCTATTTTAGTTTCATCAGACCAGAGGACATTTCTCCAAAAAGTACGATCTTTGTCCCCATGTGCAGTTGCAAACCGTAGTCTTGCTTTTTATGGCGGTTTTGGAGCAGTGGCTTCTTCCTTGCTGAGCGGCCTTTCAGGTTATGTCGATATAGGACTCGTTTTACTGTGGATATAGATACTTTTGTACCTGTTTCCTCCAGCATCTTCACAAGGTCCTTTGCTGTTGTTCTGGGATTGATTTGCACTATTCGCACCAAAGTACATTCATCTCTAGGAGACAGAACTCCTTCCTGAGCGGTATGACGGCTGCGTGGTCCCATGGTGTTTATACTTGTGTACTATTGTTTGTACAGATGAACGTGGTATGTTCAGGCGTTTGGAAATTGCTCCCAAGGATGAACCAGACTTGTGGAGGTCTACACATTTTTTTTTGAGGTCTTGGCTGATTTCTTTTGACATCATTTTCTGGAATTTTCCAAGCTGTTTAAAGGCACAGTCAACTTAGTGTACAGTATGTAACTTCTGACCCACTGGAATTGTGATACAGTGAATTATAAGTGAAATAATCTGTCTGTAAACAATTGTTGGAAAGATTACTTGTGTCATGCACAAAGTAGATGTCCTAACCGACTTGACAAAACTATAGTTTGTTAACAAGAAATGTATGGAGTGGTTGAATAACAAGTTTTAATGACTCCAACCTAAGTGTAAAATAAGTTGTAAAATTTCGACTTCAACTGTAGCTAGCTACATTTCTAAATTAGACTTAAGGATGACATGCTAGCTAGTTACTCTATATTTGTTAAAAGACAGAGCTAGCTCGAGACATAAGGAAGTAGTTGTGTGGTCAGTAGCCTATTTGTGTTCAGTGGTGTAGTTGTGGTCAGTCGTTGTGTTGTTGTTGTTGTGGTCAGTAGTTGTGGTCAGAAGTTGTGGTCAGTAGCTGTGGTCAGCAGTTTAGTGGTTGTGATCATTAGTTGTGGCCAACAGTTGTGTGGTTGTGCTGCAGGTTCTTTGGGCCCTACAGTATGGATGTCGTCAGTAGTTGTGGTCAGTAGTTGTGTGATTGTAGGCAATAGTTACATTTTACATTTATATTTTAGTCATTTAGCAGACGCTCTTATCCAGAGCGACTTACAGTTAGTGCATACATTATTTTTTATACCCCCCGTGGGAAACGAACCCACAACCCTGGCGTTGCAAACGCCATGCTCTTCCAACTGAGCTACATCCCTGCCGGCCATTCCCTCCCCTACCCTGGACAACGCTGGGCCAATTGTGCGCCGCCCCATGGGTCGTGGTCAGTAGTTGTGTGGTTGTGGTCAGTAGGTGTGGAAGCCATTGCCATGACCATTAAGCCATTGAGACTTCAGTGTTGGCAGTCTAAAATGGCGGATATAGACAGAATCAGTCAAAA